GATTGCATTGTAAAAGCACTACGCTTACTGTAGTATAACGTATAACATTATAAAATGGTTATACTAAGTGTAACGCTTAGGTTAAATGAAACTCGATTTCGGATTCAACTTTTTATTCTTTGCTTCTCCGATCAGTGACACTGATCTGTATTCTCACGACAAACTACGAGTATGATGCAAATATTAGTTCGTTTTTCCGATCATGTTACGACGACTGCGTCCAAGCGGACGCAGTTTTTAACTAGAGGCCGGACGCGGGCGCTTTGGAGGCAGGACGCGGGCAGAGCAGACGCAAGACGCGGGCGTCGTGGAGGCCGGACGCGGGCGCTCTGAAGGCAGGACGCGGGCAGAGTGGACGCAAGACGCGGGCGCTCTGGAGGCAGGACGCGGGCAGACGCGGGGACAAGTTATTTCTTGGCAGTACTGTAGTTGAGTACTACTTTTGAGAAGTCAGTATGTAACAAAGTAAACTTTTTCTGGAGCACTTTTACTTGAAACGAAGTCGTTTTAAGAAGTAACGTTTTACTTCGTTATTTTCATTTTGTGGCGAAGTATTTCGTTACTTTCTCACATTTGTTTATTTTACGTGAGATAAATCACCGATTTATTTTAATTTTGGGATAGCTAATAGTCAGGTATCTCTCGTTTGTGGCTTACTTATAACCATTATTTATTTAATGGATTTCTTATATCTCCAACAGTGTCTGGAAAGTAGACCATGCTGTGAAATATTGTATATTATGGTACACACATGTGTGCTGTTTTGTGTCTTTTGTATGTCAATCTATTGAAGAAGTCCCCCCCCTCCCCCCTCCTACATGCTATAGACAATTATAGTACTTTTACTTTTACTTTGTACTTCAAGTATTTTTTAAGGATACTTTTGTACTTTTTACTTAAGTAAGTTTTGCTTCCAATACTTTTTATTCTTACTCAAGTCGTCTTGTTGTTAATTACTTCTACTTTTACTCGAGTACAAATTCAAAGTAATTTACAGTAGGCACCACACCACTGTATATAAGCCCCCCCCC